ACCTCTCGCTCTATCTTTTTCATTGACTATCTCTCTTTCTTAATGCCTATCTCTATCTCTCTCTCGCCTTTTCTCAGAACTCTCCTTTTTTATGCCTCATTTCTATCTCTTTTCATTCTCTCTCCCTTTTGCCTCTATCTTCCCGCTCTCTCTCTCCCTCTTGATCTACCTCTATAAATCATCCCGTTTTCTCTATGTCTACTTGAATGTTCAGTAAATGTTTTTTTGCAGCTTCTCGCAAATTTAAATACATCAACTTTTTGGAGCAACATCTTGCGAGCTGCCGTTGTTTAGCTGCTCCACTTTGCCATATTTTATGTACTTCCATAAATGTCATATATTATTGCCTCTACCCTAATCTATAGCAAATGCAATTTGCCTGCTTCGCAGCACAAAACAAAGTAATGTTCCCCCAATTTTTCTTGCCAACCCTCGACAATTTTTGAAATAATTCTCCACATGTGTTTTATATGTTTTTTTAAGGAGCTCACCAGACAATGGCTGCCAGCAGGTGTGCCTGTGTGTGTGAGTATATGAGGGGCTTAAGCGGGGTGCTCTTACTAGCCCTAAGGCCATAAAAATTCGCGACAAAAAGTTGCCCGTGAATGAATGAAATAAAAGCCCATCAAATGGGCGCTCAGCTATACAATGTTTTTATTTCTACAAAGTGTGACCAGATTACTTAAATAAAGACAGTTTATACATATACATATGTATGTATAGATATATATAATATTAAAAATTAAATATTTGCCAGGCCGTCCGCCGGAGAGATGTCGAACAATGCTGACCAATTGCAGTCGTAAAATTGGCAAACAGCTGTTGACCCGCTTTCCCTGCGCACCACGCCCACTTTATATGGTGGCTATTAAAAAGCCAGTCGTTACATTCGACGGCTGCACAAGTTTATGGCGGTTCCGTGGCTCTCTGTCCATCTGTCTGTCAAGCTGTCCGCCGCGTATTTGCAGAACTTTGCCTGCGCTTAATTAAGCAATTTGAAGTGTGGCAGTGGCGCGGTGGGGCGGAGAGGAATGAGGAGGGGCAGGAAATGCGGCAACTGTGACTGTGGCTGAGTTGGCTGGCTGTGGCTATAGAAAAAGTAGCACAAACCGCTAATTGAAATTGCAGTTATGGCCGGCATGCCCGTTGCCTTGGCTTGGTCATCTAATTGAAATAGTCCTTAACTAGTTTATAGTTATTTACTTGAACCACGCCCCCATACCCTCACCCTGCTTGCTCTACAAACTTTGTCCAAAGTGCTCAGCACTTGCTGTGCTGTCCGTCCGTTTGTCCGTCCGTCTGTCCACGATTCCCAACGTAGTGCTTAACTGCTCTCGTCATTTTCTTGGAATCCTATTTCAGATTTCTCCCAGTCCCTTTCGACCTGGCTCATTGGCCAATGTAGCATTATTAGCTTGAGCCGCTTAACGATTTATGCTTCTTCAACTTGCTCTTCTTCTGCTTCTGCTTCTCCTTATCCTTTTCTATTTCTATGATTTCTGTGCACTTACTTTTCAAATTGACGTAATTAGGCGCATTTTGTATGGTCGCCCACTGCTAAGCAGWYCATTTGTGCCGTCATAGAAGCCGGCAAGAGCTCGACAACAATGCTGGCCATGTTTATATATACACTATGGCCGAATGGCTGAAGACTGAAGATGATGG